CCTGATGATTACAGTGGAGTTAATGGGCAGCACTTTCCTGCCAAAGATCAACTGGAATGACAACAAAGACGCACAAAATGATCATAAAGAGTGACAAAATGACAACAAAGTTACACAAAATGACAACAGAGACACACAACGAAACACAAAACAGCCACAAAGAGACACAAAATGATCACAAAAAGACAATAAACGACAACATAGAGACAAAAAATGACCACAAAGAACTACAAATGACCATGAAGAGACACAAAATGACAACAAACTCACACAAAACAACAACTAAGTGACACAAAATGACAATGGAGACACAAAATGTCCACAAAGTTTCACAAAATGACCACAAAAAGATGCAATATGACAACAAAGAGACACTAAATGACACAAATATCAGCACCAGGAAACACAAAACAACCACAGAAACGCACAAAATTACCCCTCAGAGACTTTAAATCACAACAAAGTTACACAAAATGGCAACCAAGAGACACAAAAAGACACAAAATCAGCACCAAGAAACACAAAACAGCATAAAAAGACACACAGTGACCATAACATCAACACTAGGAAATGTAAAACAGCAGAAAGACACAAAATTACCCCTCAGAGACTGAAATTGAAAACAAAGTTACACAAAGTGACAACGGAGACACACAAAATGGACACCAAGAGACACAAAATGGCAACACAGACACAAAACAACCACAAAGACACACAAAATTACTCCTCAGAGACTGAAAATGACAACAGAGTAACACAAAATGACCACAAAAAGACATAAACTGAGAACATAGACACACAATGAGCACCCGGAGACACAAAACGACAACAGATAGACACAAAATGAGCACCCGGAGACACAAAACGACAACAGAGACACACCAAATGACACAAAATGAGCACCAAGAGACACAAAACGGAAACACAAAGACACAAAACAACCACAAAGACACATAAAATTACTCCTCAGAGACTTAAAACGACAACAGAGACACACAAAATGCCACACAACGAGCACCAGGAGCCCCCAAACGACCACAGTGAGGCTCAAAGCACCACCAGAGTTACACCACACGNCCAGAGAAACCAACAGACGTGTCACTTTATTCCACAAAAAAAATCATCAAAAATAAGTCCTTTGGTTAAATCAGATTCTGTTAATAACAAAAAAATCTGTGTTTTTTGGTGCAATCGTGAAGCCATGGATGACTCAGCTGTGACCAACAGTAAATAAATAAAAAATAATATTCAGTAGGTAAAATGATGGTTATTTATCTGTCTGCAGGTTGAACCTTAAGTCAAAATAAAACAGTCGCATGAGAATAATAAATAAAATTCACCAGAAATAAGTCCTTTGGTCAAACTAGATTCTGTAAAAAATAAATAATTCTGTGTTTTTTGGTGCAACCGTGAAGCCATGAATGACTCAGCTGTGACCAATAGTTAATAAATTAAAATTAATATTCAGTGTGTTAAATCACTGATATCTGTCTGTCGGCTGACCCTTAAGTCATAATAAAACAGCCGCATGAGAATATAAATAAAATTCACCAGAAATAAGTCCTTTGGTAAAATTAGAGGATGTAAAAAATAAATAATTCTGTGTTTTTTGGTGCAACCGTGAAGCCATGAATGACTCAGCTGTGACCAACAGGTAATAAATAAAAATTAATATTCAGAGGGTAAAATGATGGTTATTTATCTGTCTGCAGGTTGAACCTTAAGTCAAAAATAAAACAGCCGCATGAGAATAATAAATAAAATTCACCAGAAATCAGTCCTTTGGTCAGATTAGATTCTGTAAAAAATAAATAATTCTGTGTTTTCTGGTGCAACCGTGAAGCCATGAATGACTCAGCTGTGACCAACAGGTAATAAATAAAAAAAACAACATTCAGCAGGTTAAATGGCATTTCCTCCGTCTGTCTGCAGGCTGAACCCTGTCAGACGTCGACTGAGTTACGGCAGATTTCTGTACATGTGAAATGATGAATAATAAATCAGCCACATAAGAGCAACAGGAAGCTCCCACCAAGGCTGCAAACACAAACAAATCACTTTATTCTACAAAAATTCACCCAAAATAAGTCCTTTGCTCAAACCAGATTCTGTTAATAACAAAAAATTCTGAGTTTTGTTTGTGTAACCGTGAAGCCGTGAGTGACTCTGCTGAGACAAACAACAAATAAACAGAANTTGTAGGTGCGTCATCAAACCAAACTCCATTCAAAAAAGTTCAAATTTAAGCCCAGAAGGAGAACGTTCATAAATTAAGCCTGATTTCTGCAGCATGTGGAGCCTCCGTGTTCTCCAGCGTTGGTAAAACCTGAGGAACATGTTGGGCGTGTTGACTAAAGGTTTTTTCTTTTTTGTATTTTCATTTAATAATCAAAGAAATGCACCCTTTGGTTTTTCCTTTTCTGCTGATGTGTGTCATTCTAACTTTGGCAAATTTCCTGTTTAGTAAAAATTACAAATATCTCGTCAAAATAACCCAAAAGTCTGTAAAAATAAATACTGGAACTAATCAGTGTTTTTAATATATATAAAACGGATAAAGATATAATAGTTTTAGTCGTGTTTACTGTTATTTTACGGTGTTTGTAACTGAAGACATCTGAGCTCTCTCCCCCTCCTCAGTGCTGCTCTTTAAAGCTGCTGCTGGACTTCAGAGGGTCACCTGACATAAAACCATAAAACCATCCACACACAGTATTTACCTGAGCGGGCAGCTTGTGCTTGGTGCCGTACAGCGACCTCACCATGGCGACGACCTGCTGACCCAGATCCACCTCCGACCCCTGGCAGCGGGTCAGCAGGGCCAAGGCGAGCAGCACCCAGGGGTTACGCTCCGACGCCGCCCTGCAGGCCGAGACAGAGGATGTTAATGAGCTTCTGGTACATGAGAGGCAGAAAACACAGAGCACAGGAACAAACCGCCGTCTCTCAGCGTCTGTCTGCAGCTCCATGAATAATAAATGAGACGCATCAGAGCGACGGCTTCGGCTTCTGCTCGTACCGCTGCAGAGGAACCACATCAAGAGGTTTGCAGATGAACTGATGAAACGTGACGGCGGAGAGGACGAGGATGGAGCCACGCTTGACCACGGTGCTCCCACGGTTAATATCAAACGCCCGCAGGCTCAAGAACAGACGTCATTCTGCTCATACGTCCGCTATCGGCTTCGCTGAAGCCTCCAGAGAAACCAACAGACGTGTCACTTTATTCCACAAAAAAAATCATCAAAAATAAGTCCTTTGGTTAAATCAGATTCTGTTAATAACAAAAAAA